ATCATAAACCCTAATAATAAACTCTAATAAAGATTGATAAACCCTTCTAAACCCTAATAAACCCCTAAAACCCTCATTTGAATAGTGGTTTAAGCATTTCTGTTGAATCATACGATGGCTGAGGGTTTAGGGTTTAGGGTTTAGATAATATCTACATTATATATATACATATATACACATGTATATATATATATATATATATATATTTATCTACATATACATATATGTATATTTATACATCAATTTAGACTTATATGAATATATCTATTTACATATATATAAATATATATAAATATATATATATATATATATCTACTTATATATATTATATTACATTATATTATATAATATTATATTATATTATTATTTTTATTATATTATATTATATGTGTTTAGGAGTTGCTTGGAGACATAGAAGATTTAGATGTGCATGCAGTGCTGGGCTTCGAGTTGAGAGTCTGCGAGGCGTTAAATTTTCAGCTGCTTACTGTGACAACTCGCGACTCTTTACACGAAGTATGTGCTGCTCTAGTTGATGCAGCAGAGCATAAATACTTTAGTGCTATGCAGCAGCTACAGCACCAGCAGCAGCAGCAGCAGCAGCAGCAGCAGCAGCAACAGGTTCAGCAGCAGCAGCAGCAGCAGCAGGGGAAGCTGCAGGGGAAGCAAATCGCTGCTGATGCAACAGATGTAAATACGCAAGGAGATTCATCAAGCACGAACCACAGCAGCAGCAGCAACAGCAGCAACAGCAGCAGCAACAGCAGCAGCAACAGCAGCAGCAGCAAGATGGAGAGCGATATTGTTGCTGCAGTAGATGCCTTAGAGTCTGAGCATATATTAATTTTATCTTTGTTAATTAACCTTCAAGAAGAAGCAGAAGCTGTATGTCTTTTGATGCATGCATCGCCTACACTGCCGCTGCAGCACCCCCCAGCTCTTCTTGCTGTTGCTGCTGTTCTCAGCAGCAACACAGCAAAGCTGCTGCTGCAGCACGGCTTTGATGTTGAGGCTGTTGTTAAATCGCAAATGATTTCTCTTACTGAACCCCCAACACAGACATCTGCTGCTGCTGCTGCTGCAGCAGCAGCAGCAGGTTCAGCAGCAGCGCCTGCCGCCGTAGAAACTGCAACAACTGCAGCACCCACAGCAGCAGCAGCAACATCAGGAGCATCAGGCTCAGCAGCAGCAGCAGGCTCAGCAGCAGCAGCAGGCTCAGCAGCAGCAGCAGGCTCAGCAGCAGCAGCAGCAGCAGCAGCAGCAGCAGCAGCAGGGGAGGCTCGGTGGCGGCTGCTGCAGGAGCAGGTGGAGTTTGTGCTGTCGGAGGTGCGAGAGATAAAAATTGCGAAGCAGCAAATTCAGACAGGAAATCTGTCTAAAGACATCGCTCAGCTGCTCTCTAAAGCTATTGATGCTGCAGAGGTATGCCTATCCTGCTGCTCCTGCTGCTGCTGCTGCTGGTTGTGCTGCTGCTGGTTGTGCTGCTGCTGGTTGTGCTGCTGCTGGTTGTGCTGCTGCTGCTGCTGCTGGTTGTGCTGCTGCTGCTGCTGGTTGTGCTGCTGCTGCTGCTGCTGCTGGTTGTGCTGCTGTTGCTGGTTGTGCTGCTGTTGCTGGTTGTGCTGCTGCTGCTGTTGATCCTGCAATTGCTGATGCTGTTGCTGCTGCATCAGCTGCTGCTGTTGTTGCAGTAAATGGTGGTGCTGTTGCTTATGGGGGGAGCCCTGCTGATGTTTTGTTTGCTGCTGCTGCTGCTGCTGCTGCTGCTGCTGCTGCTGCTGCTGCAGGTGCTGGAGAGCCAGGGAAAGGGCTATGGGGAGTCTCGGCGAGACAAGAAGAGAAAAAAGAAGAAGACAAAGAAAGAGTAAACAGCAGCAGCAGCTGCTGCAGCAACAGCAGCAGCAGATACTGCAGCAACAGCAGCAGCAGATACTGCAGTAGCAGCAGCAGCAGATACTGCAGCAACAGCAGCAGCAGCAGCAGCAGATACTGCAGTAGCAGCAGCAGCAGCAGCAGTAAGAGCAGCATCAGTAGTAGCAGCAGCAGCAAAGGCTGCAGCCGTTCTCTCTATGCTAATCTTTTGCTGCTGCAGCAGCAACAAACCCCACGTAGTATAGGGGGCTTTAAAGGCCCCCTTTTAGCTAGCTAGCTAGCTAGCTAAATAGCTAAACAGCTAGCTAAATAGCTAGCTAAACAGCACACTCATGACTACGTATCCAGCTCGCTAGCTATCCAGCTAGCTACCTACCAACCTAGCTAGCTAGCTAGCTAGCTAGCTAGCTAGCAAACACCTATATATATAATATATATAATATATATAATATATTTATTTATTTACTTAACGACATGCGTATATAGATGTATATCTGCACCCTTACATGAAAATCTGTATGCATATATTTATATGTGCACATATATAAATATATCTATTTAAAGATATATATATATATAAATATATCTATTTAAAGATATATATATGTAGAAATATATATAAATAT